CTGGGAGGATGGTGCTTGGCTGTAATTAATTCCCTGTGGAAACAGCTGTGCCCTCTTGTTAGGCTGGATTCCAAAGGCCCCGAAGCCCTGAATTGGCTGCTTCGCGATAGGCAGGACTAAGCCGTCCACATCTGAAAGGCAAGTCCTACAAATATCCAGCAGGACTCAGGGCCAGATTCTTCCCCATAGATGGCGACTCCTGCCAAATGGCCACCAGTGTCATGATATATCACGTGCTGAAAGCCAGGAAGGACATCTGAAGACCACCAAATGTGAAAACCGAAATCTCGGTTCAATTGTTGCCAACTCCATCATTCTGGAATTTGGGGCATGGGAACACGCGTAGCCAGTCTAGAATGTACACCTATGGAAATAGTCCACGCTGTCCAGTACCACTGGTCGTCCAAGGGTATTGGGCCTGTGGACTGCAGCAGGTGCTTCTGAAGAACCAGTATTTTTAATTGTGTTTAAACTTAATGACTTTACATTTAAATAGCCAGGGGATGGTGTGCTGGGCTAGAGCTATGGTCCCTCTTCACTCCCCACCTCCACTCCATCCACATGGGCTTTCACTTCAACATATAACCACCTTCTTTGCGAATACCCAGGTTCAAGTCACCGTCATCTCCCACATGCATGATTGCAATAGTAATTACTCTCTTCCAGCTTCTGCCTCTGTTCCTATAATCCATTCTCCCCACACCAGCAGGAGCTACAGTGTTAAAACGCAAAATTATGTTACCTTCTGGTCACCTCCCTATTTGGAGCAAAAGTCTTTCTGAGGGCCAATGAAGCCCCGTTGGACCCCATGGTACTGTCTCATCCCACCCCCATTCTACTCACCTCACTGCAACCACACTGGCTCCTTGCCCTGCCTCCCGCCCGCCAGGCATGCTCCCACCCCAGGGCTTATAGTTGCTCTTTCCTCAGAGCCCAAATAGCTGGCTCCCTGAACTCCTCATATATGTGCCAAATGTCAGCCTCCCTGACTAACCTATTTAAAGTTCAACCCCCCAACATTTCCATCTTCTTTGCCATATACATCCAATACTCAATGTAGAATTTATTTAATCTGTAATCTTCTCCCCCTAAAAGCACCAATAGAGTGGGAATTTTTGTTTATGTTCTCCTAGAGGTTTTCCCAATGCCTCCAGTGCTCAGAACAGAGATATTTGATGAATTATTATGGATTGCACTAAGAGACAAGCCAGCAAACAGGTTGCCTCTAGTAGCAGTTGCTTGAGGAATATGGCTCATCAGGTTCTGGACATAACATCATTCAGGATGTCACGACTTGGGTTTAAATTCATCAAATGACTCTTTACAAAGGCCTCAGCTACTGTGACTTTCCTGGCCTATAAAGTGGAAACACAGATGTCTGTCTCTCCTCCCTCATATGGTGGCTAACTTAATGACAAAAGGCTTTGGAAGACCACAGTGGGAAAGGAGAAAATGAGCAATGGATCCCATGGAGGGGTTTGTTGGGGCAAATCCTTCAGGAGTAAAGTAACTGCAGAAACTGGCATCATCCAACTCACTGAGACATGGTGGTGGCCAGCTGTAACTCAGCGATGCAAAACAGCTTATTCTTGCAGGCCTTCTCGTAGGGCAGCTGTAACCAGACAACAAAGGAGGGTCAGTGCAAGGGTTCCAACTTACCTGCAGCCCTGCCTTGTTATCTTCTGCTTAGGACACTTCCCTGCCTGCTCTAGAATGGAGTGGACGTGAAGGGTGGGAGGCTGGGCTGGAGCCCACACAGCCAAAAGCCCCATGCCCGTGACATTCCTGGTTAGGAATGCACAGCAGGGGCACATCTAGAGCCAGCCTTCTGGCAAAGGTAAAAATAGGGTGCCCTTTGGAATGGTGGGTGTGCCCATCACACTCACATCCTGTGGATCAAACGACAACATTCACAAGCAGCTTTAGCACTCCAAACACTTGTGGAAGAAAAGCCTGTATAAAGGAAACCTTAGCCTTTTCAACTATGGGTGCGGACAACTGGGGCAGGAGCCAGGGCCACCTGCACAAATATCAAAATGTTCTGTCCTCTGATGTCCCCTGCGCTGAGGCTGGTGTTCTCTGTAAATTACTATCTCACTTGCAATCTTGAATACACATAGTAAACAAATTGAGTTGGGCTGGCCAAATAGCTCAGTAGATTAAAGTGCCTGCAAGCAGGCGTAGGGGCCAGGCAGGGAGTTTGATTCCCGGGCCTGCAGCCCTGACCCTAGGGCACGCTGAGAAGGCTATTGAGACTGGGTATGGTGGTGCACACCTGTAATACCAGCTCTTGGGAGGCTGTAAACAGGCAGATCACTATGAGTCCTATCTAGTAGTGAGACCCTGAACACCCTGTAGACCCTTCCTTAAAATAAAATTTAAAAAAAAAGTAAACAAATTCAGAAAATCACACCTGGTTCAATAGGCCTCTCTTAAGTTTTAAAAGTCCCAGTTTGAGTTGAAAAACTCAAATTTTCTAAAAATAGTTGGGTTGGACTGGGGATATAGCTCAGCAGCATAAGGGTCTGCTTGGTAAGTACAAAGTCCTGAGTTCCATCCCCAGCCCCTGCGGCCAGTGATCACCCAGGCGGCTCCTGCAGGGCTATTCTCACAGGCTAGTCTTGGAACAAGAAGGAGACTTTCTGCTTCTTGAAGAAGAGAGTCTCTACTTGTAGAAGTCAGAGCATAGAGTTCCCTCGAACTGGGTCAACAGTTTTGTGCAAGTTTTTGTTTTTTGCTTTTTTTTTTTTATATATATAGCCAAGTAGCTTGCTTTCTTTTATCCGATCCCCATGAAAGAGAACAGGGTGAAGCCAGTCATCTAAATTCCCAGCAAAAACTCATTCTCTGATAGCATCTGTGTGCCCACAGAGGGTCACTTTTCACATCCTTTCTATAGGTGGAATAAACACATTCAAATTTCTTTCCCATACTAGCACAGTAATAACTGATGAAGGTCAGACTCATGAAAGGAGATTGAGCAGGACATGTACACTATCTCAAAGCATCTCACTATGAATATTTATATCAGTATTTATCTCCTGATTTGGATCATTGCACAATGCCATGTAACAACATGTTCTGTTCTTAGGGAACATATACTGAAGTACTGGGGGTAAAGAGGCATAATAATTGTAATTTATTGTCAAATGAAAATTGTCCAAACTCTCGTGTGTGTGTGTGTGTGTGTGTGTGTGTGTGTGT